GTGTGTGTGGGGTGTATATATGTGTGTATGCGGTGTGTGTATGTGTGTGTGGTGTGTGTGTGTATGTGGGTGTGGTGTGGGTGTGGTGTGGGGGGTATATGTGGTGTGTATATGTGTGTATGTGGTGTGGGTGTGTATGTGTGTATGTGGTGTGTGTGCATGTTTGTGTGTGGGGTGTGTGTGGTGTGTATGTGGTGTGTGTATGTGGTGTGAGTGTGTATGTGTGTATGTGTGTGTGGTGTGGGTGTGTATGTGTGTTTGTGTCCTGTATAGGCAGATTCATACTTTGATGCACTGCCCAGAGGCCTGTTTTAGTGACTGTTAGTAAAAATGCATTCGTCTTGCTGTTCTGTGCAGCTGTCTGCAGGTTAGTGTTGCAGGTTACGATTAGGCTGGGAAACTGCATGTGTCACTGGGCTCTGCTGGGGGTGGTGTGGCACCTCTCACACTCGACCTGTACTCCCAAGTTCTCAAGAGTAGAAATTGCTTTGGTTTGCTGTTCTTGTGTTCAAGAAATCCTGTATGATGTACATGGGGAACCAACCCTTTCCTGATCCTGTTTTCAGGGAAACTGACTCCTTGCCCACTTCCTCCCACCTCTGAGTCCCAGGACCCCCGTGAGGTGCTGGAGGTGCCTTTGGACCATGTCCTACCTTTGGGACAGCTGCAGCCCCACTCAACAACTCAGGTAACTTCTTCACCTAAGAAATCTGCGTTAACATTTTCCTAAGTGCTAAGTATAGGTTCTAAACTGCAGAAGACGCAGGGAGGGCCTCATCTCCAGCGCCCACCGTGGAGGGGGGGAATAGATTCTCATTAGACAAACTGCAGAAGACGCAGGGAGGGCCTCGTCTCCAGCGCCCGCCATGGTGCTGGTAGCGTCATACTCACACTCTTCAGCTCCTTTGCTTTTTATTTGTTTTGGGTTTTGGAGACAGAGTCTCACTGTGTAGACCAGGCTATCTTGAACCCTGGGTCTCCTGCTCAGCCTCCTGAGAACAGGAATTACACAAGTGCCCGACCATTCCTGGCTTCTGGATTTGTTTATGGCTTTAAGCAACGAATCATACATATGACGTACATATTTTTACTTTGTTGGTTGGTTGGTTTGTTTCTTTGTTTTTCAACACAGGGTTTCTCTGTGTAGCAGCCTTGGCTGTCCTGAAACTTGTTCTCTAGACCAGGATGGCCATTGCCTCCTGAGTGCTGGGATTAAAGGTATGCGCCATCACTGCCCAGCTGTTACTATATTTTTAATCTTTACCAATATAATTTTTTTTTTCCGAGACAGGGTTTCTCTGTGTAACAGTTCTGACTGTCCTAGAACTAGCTCTTATAGACCAGGCTGGCCTCGAACTCACAGAGATCCTCCTACCTCTGCCTCCGGAGTGCTGGTATTAAAGGCGTGCACCACCACCGCCCGGCTCAATATAAATTTTAAATTTGATTTTTAATAAAAAATGTCTTGGGGCTGGAGAGATTGCTTGGGAGTTGTGTTGCCCTTCCAGACAATCTCAGTTTGTCTCCCCATGCCACTGTCAGGCAGCTTACAGCCTCGGTAACCGCAGCTCCAGGGGATCTATCTGAGCTTGCTTTCTACTGAAACCAAGGAAACTTGGGGAGAAAAGGGTTTAATTGGTTTACCCAATCATATCCATCATGAAGGGAAGTCAAGGCAGAAATCTAGAGGCAGAAACTGATGCTGGACACGGTGGTGCCCACCTTTAATCCCAGCACTTGGGAGGCAGAGGCAGGCGGATCTCTGTGAGTTCAAGGTCAGCTCTGGACTACAAGAGCTAGTTCTAGGACAGCTGTGGCTGCTACACAGAGAAACCCTGCCTCAAAAAAAAAAGAAAGAAAGAAAGAAAGAAAAAAAGAAAGAAAGAAAGAAAGAGAAAAAAAGAAAGAAAGAAAAGAAGGGAGGGAGGGAGGGAGAGAAACAGGTCATGGAGTATGCTACTTACGAGCTTGCTCCTTATGGCATGTGTGCTCAACTAGATGTTACGTTTTTGTGGGGTTTGTTTATTTGTTTGTTTGTATTTTACATGTATTGACGTTTTGCCTGCATGTTTGTCTGTACCCTATGTGGGTGCCTAGTACCTTGGAGGTAACGAGGAGACATTAGATCCCTAGGAACTCGAGTTACAGGTGGTTGCTAGCCACCGTGTAGCTGCTGGGAACAAATCTGGTTCCTCTGGAAAAGCACCCAGTGCTCTTTACTGCTGAGCCATCTCTCCAGCCCTTAGCTTGCTTTTTTCTACAGTCCAGGACCACTTGCCCAAGGGTGATACCACCTACAGCGGGATGGGCAGAACCCTCCCACATCAGTTATTAATAAAGAAAATACCCCCGAAGACTTGCCTATGGTCCACGGAAGTAGACATTTTCTCAGTTGAGGTCCCTCTTACCAGATGACTCTAGCATGTGTTAAGTTGACAAAAACTGACCACAGCTGACTCTTTACCAACCAGACACAACAGAACATCAATATAAGCCACAACTTTTCATTTCTTATTTAGTGGTTGTTAGTAAATAATGTTCCTTCTGCGACTCTGTGCAGCTGTCTGAGAGTTAGGCCTCCGGGTTCGGATCAGGCTGGACGTCGTGCCCTGTGTTCCTGAGCTCTGCTCGTGCTAATATCAGTGTCACAGTATAACATACAAGGCAACATTTAAAGGTCTCAGTGTTGCTGGGCGGTGGTGGCGCACGCCTTTAATCCCAGCACTTGGGAGGCAGAGGTAGGTGGATCTCTGAGTTCAAGGACAGCCTGGTCTACAGAGTGAGGACAGCCAAGGCTGCACATAGAAATCCTGTCTCGAAACACACACACACACACACAAAGTCTCAGTTTAAAATGTAAATGCTTGGGCTGGAGAGATGGCTCAGAGGTTAAGGATGCTGACTGCCGTTCCAGAGGTCCTGAGTTCAATTCCCAGCAACCACATGGTGGCTCACAACCATCTACAATGAGATCTGGTGCCCTCTTCTGGCATGCAGTCACATATGGAGGCAGAACACTGTATTGTATACATAATAAATAAATAAAAATCTTTTTAAAAGTTTTAAAAATAAATAAATAAAATAAAATAAAATGTAAATGCTTTAGCTAGGCGTTGTGGAGAACGTCTTTAATCCCATCACTCAGGAGGCAGAGGCAGAGGCAGGTGGCTCTCTGTAGAAAGAGACTGCATGTTTGTCTCCCAGCTGTCCAGCCTCCCTCAATAACCACACAGAAACTGTATTAATAAAATCACTGCTTGGCCCATTAGTTCTAACTTCTTATTGGCTAGCTTTTACATCTTAAATTAACCAATTTCCAGTATTTTATATTTTACCATGAGGGGGGCAAGGTTCCAACATTCCTGTCTCTGACAGCGGCTCCAAGGCTTAACTCTGCCTTCCTTCTCACAGCATTCAGTTTAGTTTTCCCCACCTAGCTCGGCTCTACCCTATTACAGCAGAGGCTGTGGAGAAATGCTGATTGTTTAGTTTGTTCCCAAACCTTATTCAGTGTTCTTACATGTTCTGCTATCAGAGATGGCGCTCTCCACAGTGGGCTGAGCCCTCCATATCAACCATTAATTAAAAAAAAGAAAACCTCAGCTGTTTCTACAGGCCAGTCCTATGGGGGCGTTTTCTCAGCCGTGCTCCCTCTTCCCAGATGGCTCTAGCTGTGTAATAGTGGCAGAAAACTACGCAGCACAGGGTCCGGTGCCCTTCCACACAGGGCATATGCACTCATAAGTACAGACACACAAATAAAAATAAATCTTTAAAACTTTCTTGTAATTTTTTTTTCTCTGTAGCTGAGAAGGGCCTGGTACAATTTAGACTGGGCTGGCCTCACAAAGCCCTGTCTGCCTTTACCTCCCAAGTGCAGGGATTAAAGGCCTGCTCTACCACACCCAACTTTTAAAATTTCTTACAGCCAGACGTAATGGTTATGGTCAAGGATTGGGGTGTAGCTCAGTTGTAGAGCACACATGTAGCTTGTGCCAGAGGCCCTGGGTTCCTTTCCTAACGTTAAAAGGTCAATTCCAGCCATTTTAATCCTTTGCCCTGATGGAGATTTTCCGTCACTCAAAGAAGTACCTTCTTCTGGTGTGGTGGTACCCACCTTTACTCCCTGTATTTAGGAAGCAGAAACAGTCAGATCTCTGTGAGTCTGAGGCCATTCAAAGCTACATAGTAAGACCCTGTCTCAAACAAACAAAAGAGAAGAAGGTCTGTCTTCAGGTTTTACCCAGAACAGTGTCATGACCTGCAAGCTATCCATCCTTGGGCAGTCCAGTGTCCAGCACCGCTCATTCTACCCTTAGCTGAGGTTGGGGGTAGGAGGTCTCCTCACCCTGCCGAGGTCTTGTGTCTCTGCCGCAGGGATGTTCATTCCTCTTCATCCTTCCCACAAGCTAATTCAGTCCCATTGATGGGTAAAGCACAGCAGACCTGTGCCTTGGAGCTGTGTGTGTACATAGAAGTGGCTATTGGGTTTTCGAGACAGTCTTGCAATCCTTCTGCCTGGGCTCCTAAAGTGCTAGGATTACGGGCCACCAGTCAGGACCAGCTGGGTTTGTTTTTTTGTTTTTGTTTTTTTTTTTGTAATCTCAGTACTGATTCATATTTGTTGAATAACTGCAAATGTGTTCTCCCAGAAGGAATTTGCAATTTGTCTTTTCAGTTCACTTAAAATAAATTAAAAGAATAGTGATGTTTTTGCCCTGGGGCGATGTAGATTCTAAGTTTATTCCCAGCCAGGTGGGAAGAGCCAGCTCTGAGCCAGGGAGCGACATGCTGACCACCACTGGGGAGGGCTGCTGAGGCTGTGAGGCATGGTAGGGGCAAGGGCAGAGCTAAAATGTAAAAAAGAATATCAGGACATCAAGAAGAAAACATCAAGGCTTAGGCCTTAGCAGCTGGATGGGGAAGCGGGGCTGGGGGGGGCTGGGGAGGACAAGCTGGAGGTAGTCCTTCTCCTTCACACCTGCGGCCAGCCCGAGGCCACACGTGAAGAGCAGAGTCAAGGACAGAGCAAGGCCACAGGAAAGAGGCCTGGGGAGAAGAGCTGAGCCGCAGAGGTCAGAAGAAACTGAGCAGGACAGGCCGAAGAAAGTAGGGCAGGCCCAGGTGTTTTCCCCAGTACACCACGCTCCCCGTGGAGGAAACTATAAAGGAAGCATTGAGAAGGGTGGCTGAGTCCAGAAAGGAGGCCTGGCTCAGAGCGGAAGGGTGCTGCTCCCACACTGCTGGAAACTGGGGCATCCTGGGATACCTGCCCCACCACCTCCTCCAGACTCTCCATGGACCCACACAGGCGCTCCTGACCTACGAAAGGTGATCTGTAATCACCAAGAGTTTTCACCCCAACCAGTTGGGAATTCTCAGTCACTTGCACTGGTCAGTCAGTGCTCAAACTTTGCAAACAGGTATTGTCTGAAGAAATCTTTCCCGCACCCAGTAAACAAGCCTGCCGTCCATTGCAATAAAACACGCCTGTTATATGAACTACTTCTTATGTAAAACTACATTTGTTTATTACATCTACTGAAATAATTTAAAACTCTAGACAAGAAACCGGGCACAGTGGTTCTTACCAACACTGGAGGCTGAGGCAAGAGGATGGAGATTTAAAGCCAGCTTAGGCCGTATACTGAAGCCCTGCCTTAAAATGAAGAAGAAGATAACAAAAAAGAAAGAAAGAAATGAAAGACAGCTGGAGAAATGACTCAGTGGTTAGGAGCTCTGACCGCTTTTCCGGATCTGGTGTTTGATTCCCAGCACCACATGGCAGCTCACAGCCATCTGTAACTCTAGTCACAGGCAATCCCATGCCCTCTTCTGGCCTCTGTGCACACCAGGCATGCATATGATACACGGGCACACATGCAGACAAAATGCCTATACCCATTATAGGAAAAGCGGAGGTCAGTGACGGAGCTCATAACCACTGCCAGCCAAAGAGCTCTAAGTTAAGCACCAGGGTGTGTGTGCAGGGTGTGTGTGCTGGGTGTGCTCACTACTGTGCCCACTGGAGAACAGCCCGTGCGGTCTGCACGCTCCCACCCACTGCTCTGAGCTCTGCGAAGGCCCAGCAGCTTTTTCCGGCCTGTTTTCTTCCACGATTCCTTTCACACCACGTATGTGGTTCTCCTTGATGTCCCCCGCCTCCTTTCATGCAGAGCATGGATGAAACCAAGCACTCAGACCGTGTGATGGGCAGAGTGGTCAGTTAGGGACCAGCCGACCAGGTGCTGTCTTGGCTGGGCTTTACTGCCCTGATCTTGGGGAAGAGACTTCTGCTTGGAATTCATAGCTTCCTTCCCCAGAAGGTGTGAGAAGCACTTTGGTCAACTGGAGGGAGCTGGTTGAATTTGTTCTATGTAGTAAAACAAGCAGGTCCTTCCTTTAAGGGCTGTCATCAAATGAAGAGTCCCTAGTCCCCGGATTTGGGGAATGTTTCTTCCTAATCTCATGGGAAAGCTCATATGCAATGATATCAGTTCCTGAATTTCTCTTGACTTTTCATGGCAGGACCCCAGGCACACCAAGAGAAAATGTGTTTCTGGATATTCAGGGAAAGATCAACCACACTCCGCCCAAGCGGTCAGCAAAAGCAGCACCGCACAAGGCTCCAAGGCGGGCATGGCATCTACCCACAAGGTCAGCAAAAACAGCACCACACGAGGCTCCAAGGCAGGGGCAGCATCAAGGCCTGCTCAGGTACAGCCACACTCTGAGGTGCAATGGTTTCTGGGAGTGTAGATGGGAGCTGGAGTATGACCAGACTTGGTGTCTACACACACTCGAGTGTGGAAATTGTGGGAACTCGAGCACTCTGGGCACCTTAGGAAAGGTCTCACTGCTCTGATGTCTGCCATGGATTTCCCACTGGGTACTTCATTTCAGAGTGGCGGGGCAGGGGAGGGATAGACGCCGGGACAGCTGGTGTACATTTACCCACCCTTCACACTCTGGTAGGAACTACCACCTTCAAGGTTCTGTCCCCTCACCTCTATCCTGGACTCACTTGGGCTTCAGGCACTCAGCTGCCTTCCAGGGGCCCATCCCCATCTTGAGGAGGGTCCTGGTCTCCTTTTCCTGAGGAGAGCGGAAAGGAGAACTATGAACTTCCCAGGGCTGAAGAGAGGGTAGCTATCAAAGACAACTGTCCTCCTAACTTCCACAGAGACAGCACAGAGTCCCCACAGAGACCTGGAAGTCAGTGTATCAGAAAGAAAACAGGTCCCCACCGCTGCCACCACAGGCTCAAGAAGTCCCCGAGGAAAGTGACCACCACAGATCGTCTTCACTGGCCAGCAGTTCCCTCCAGGACACCTGGAAGCTGCTGGACCTGGGGTCCAGCCTTTCGGGCGTCGCCTCTCAGGATGACTCTGCTGCTGCAGGTAGGAGAGCTGCTTCCTGACTAACAGAGTGGGGTACCAAAAGGAGCGGGAACAGCGTGGCCACCATGTTCTCAAGTGATTGCGGTTGATGTGTGAATTCTCTCCACCCTTTCAATCTCCTAGGCCTGCATACTTTATCTCTTGTGGGGAGCCAGAGTGTCCCATGCCATGATCATACAGCCCTGCAGGTCAGGAATGTCTCACAAGCTGTGTCCCCAGGGCCCCTTAGGAGAGAGTGCTCTGCTTCTCTAGAAGAGCCAGTGATGGTCGCAGTGAAATTCTTAGGAAAACTTCTCTAAAGGCTCACTTTGGGGGAACTGTTTGAGATGACACGAAGCAAAAAGGGTGGAGGGAGAAAAAGTGGTTTCAAAATCTAAGCCAGACAAAATGAACAAAAAGCCTGGCATGGTTGTGCACCCCTTCAATCCCAGTACTCAGGAAACAGAAACAGACAGAGCTCAGTGAGTTTGAGGCCAGTCTGGTCTACAGAGTGAGTTCCAGGACAGCCAGGGTTACATAGAGAAACCCTGACTCAAAAAGGAAAAAAATAAAAAAATCATAGTCAGTGGCATCATGTTGGGGTATAAGAGTTCCACAGTCGCCCGAAATGGAGTATAACAGAGGTTTATTTATCTAGGGATAAACTCACAGAAAGGGGGCGATCGCAGTTCTCTGTATGCGCTGGGAACTGGAACCCAATCCAGCTTTCAAGAGGCCATGCATGCTTTTCATCTGCACTGATAGTACATGAGACCACATCCAACATGGGTCGGTATTTTTTTTTTAACTATAAACTGATTGGCCCATTAGCTCAGGCTTCTTATTAACTCTTATAACTTGTATTAGTCCATTATTCTTGTCTATGTTTGCCACGTGGCTCAGTACCTTTTTCAGTGAGGCACTCACATCTTGCTTGTTCTGTGGCCAGATCAGGACTGCACACCCCTTCCCAGAATTCTCCTGTTCTCATTAACCCGCCTCTACTTCCTGTCTGGTTATTCCACCTATACTTCCTGACTGGCTGCTGGCCAATCAGCGTTTTATTAAAACACAGTTGACAGGCTACAAACCATTGTCCCACAGCACTCCCCTCCTTTTTTTAAGGAACAAGAACTCTGAACCTAATATCCTTTGTTTAGCTTTTCTCCTGACTATTATCCATAATAACTTGTAACCAACATTCTAAACAAAGGAAAATATCCATAGTCCGTTTCTTGGGAATGTGGGCGTAGTTTTCCAGGCTACTTTCTGCTGATTGGGTTTGATGATAATCTTATGTGGACCTAAAGAAAATTTATAATTATCATCAAATCATGACTGGCGTATCCTGTGAGGCTTGATCATCTCAGGTAGCAGTCTTGAATTTGTTCTGGATGTAAAACTCTGACATCTGGGCCATCTGTTCCTACTGGAGATTTCTCAGAGGATCTTCCTTGAAGTGGCTCAATATCTTAAAGGCTATTGGCTGACGGGTCCACAGCAGTGATGCAGAACTGATGCATGATTCTGGTGTCCTTCTAGTGTGAGCCCTGGTGTCCTGGTGTGTTCTCCACAATTGTTTTTAGGTCATTTCCAGTCCTTTGCCATTACAAATAAGATGAAGTAAATGTCCCAGCACTCAGACTTAGGAGGCAGAAACAGAAAGATCTCTGAGAGTTCAAGGACAGCCTAGTCTACAAAGGAAGTTCCAGAATAGCCAAGGCTACACAGTGAGACTCCATTCAAGAAACAAAAGAGGAAAATAGATCCAAGACAGAAAGTCCAAAGAAGAAAGAGCTCTCAGGAAGCCTAGCAAATCACCCACAGAATAATGAAACCTACACCCAGAAATTTGTAATGCTGCCAGCACCAAAGGAGGTGGGTATGGGTATGTGTGAGTGCAGGTACCCCGGAGCCAGAGGCATTGGATCCCCTTGGAGCTGGAGCTACAAGGAGGTTATAAGATGCCCAAAGTGGGTGCTGGGAACTGAACCCAGGTCCTCTTGAAAAGCACTTACCTGCTGAGCCATCTCTAACGCCAGTGGCCAGTGCTGTCCTTTTGAATGAGGACAGAGTAACCTGATTTCTCACCACAGGGAGGGAGCTGAGAGGCAGCACAGACAGGCCTGCTGCACTGGGGAACAGCAGAAGAGCACTCGGTGACAAAGAAGCCTGAGCAATGTCACCACCAGCTGCCTCTCACCTGAAACAAGCTCACAGGTAACCAATACAGACAGGTTGCCAAACCACACATCTGTCCATCCTCAGCTGAGCGTCTCAGTACAGAAGAGCCATGCAGAGTCCTGACAGGCAGCAGACACGGCTGGTGTGTGCAAAACTTACAAAAGCAAGTAGATTACGGAACCTTAAATTATCTTATTTTTATTGTCCTTTCAACTATGTATATTACGTGTGCTTAATGTTTTTGTTGTTTGTTTTATTTTGTTTTGTGTTTTTGAGACTGTGTCTCACCACATGTTTCTGTCTGGCCTGGAATTTCCAGTGATATCCCAGGTGCTAGGATTACAAGAATTACAGGAACTACACCCTGGTTGCTTTAAAGAGTAAGGCGTGGTCAGCCCCACAGATGCATCAAGGATCGGATAGAGAAGTGACCCTTATTTTGTTTTGATTTGATTTGGTTAGCCTGAAACTTGCCCCAGTCTTCCTGCCTCTGTCCCTCGGTGCTAGGATTATAAACACGGCCATTATGCCCACAACCCCTGAGTTTTGCCTGGTGTAGATCACTGTTGGCTTGAAGAGGGGTCTCAGTGGGATGAGGTCATCACTTTAGTCTTCTCGGCCGAGTCCTTCAGCAGAGAGTGGGATGGAGAGCTCGGAAGCAGCAGTCCGGAGGCCGCAGCTGAGGGAGGGGCGGAAACAGAAGCCTGAGGAGCCTGCCTGTGCAGGGGGTGAGGTGGGCAGAGATGACGGGAGACAAACTCAGAGGGCAGCCCTGGGAGTGACTGGAGTGGAGGGTAGATCGGCTGCCCACACTGACAGGCAAGCTTTCCCCAAGCTTACAGACTTTCCAGGTAGCCAGTGGGAAACGGTCATGGCACAGCTGACCTGATGAAACAGCTCTGACTTTTGAACAGTTAGCTGGTGGCCACGTGCAGCCTGGGAGCTGACGTGACAGCAGAAGTTAACCAAAAAGTTCCAAGTGGAGGGTGGCCTGAGGGAGTGAAGGGTGGCACAGATCAGGCAAGATGCTTGGAGCTGCGAGTCACTGCATCCCAGTGCAGGCGGCATAGAGCAGAGCTCCCAGCCCATGTCTAATGCAGCACCGAGTAGAGAGCCACGGGGACGAGCACTGGCCATACCCTGCCGCACACCGGCCAGAACACAGAGAGCCACGGGGACGAGCACTGGCCATACCCTGCCGCACACCGGCCAGAACACAGAGAGCCACAGGGACGAGCACTGGCCATACCCTGCCGCACACTGGTCAGAACATGAGCTTGCATCAGCCTGCAGGACAGTGGGAGGACGCTGCCTCTGGTCGGCCCTTTCGGGTCCTGCCCACTCCTCCACTGATTGATTTTCGTCAGCGAGGAGAATGCTGCCCTAGAACCCACACACCTGCTCCGCATGTCCCAGGGCATTGCCTGCAGGACCCAGGCCACCTTCCTGGAAGCTGCTGCTTGGGGCTCTCAGTGGGAAAGATTGGTAGAAGCTGAGCTGCCATACCCAGCCTGAGTGTGGGGTGTGGCTGACAGCTCCTAGCACCTTTTGTAATAAAAGTAAAGTTAAAAACAAAACCAAACAAAAACCTACATTCCAGCAGAGATTCTGGCTTTGTGGTTCACTCTACAGAGGATTTTGCTGAGAGGAAAGACGGACGTTATCAGTGCAATCTTGTGGTTTAGTCAGCCCTGGGTTCCTGGTGCAGCCCTGGCATCTGGGAGGCTTGACTGAGATCTGTCACTGTGAATGACAGATCTCAGTGACTCAGATCTTGTAATGACTTGAGGACCTTATAGGTGGACACACTGATACCTTGGGGGACAAGGTCTCTCATGAAGATGTGGCTGGCCTCACCACGTTAGTGGGTGGGATAGGATCAGTCCCCAGTCAGCCTGGAAGTCTTGCTTCAAAAACTAGGGTGGGATTTCTAAGTTTTACACTTTCAGTGCATCGTGAACGGTAGACTGACCATTCCACGGTTCTGGGCAGCTAGCAGCGCTGATGAAACAGCATGGAAGGGACCAACATGTAACTGTGTCCATGTTTAGAAACAGGAAAGCCCACTGAGGTGCTGGGGCCCAGCATTCAGGAGGTCAAGGTGGGAGAGGCATGAGGCACCCTGGCCACCATGCTGGCACCCTACACACACCCTGACGTCTATCCCCCCTACACACACCCTGACGT